TCCCCTCTATACCCACCCACTTGCTTCCTTCATTTTTTTGTTGCATTTTTCAGTAATTAAGATCAACTGTAACAGGCCAAAAACGAACTTCTTCTATCTTTGCAACAAACACGCATTCATTGGCTCTTAGTGTTTGCCGACGTGCACAGGTGCTTGTCCTCAGCCTGTGGAAGCCGTTTCAATGCTGCTGAAAAACCCCCATTAGAAAAAAGAGAGAAAATTCCATCAATGCTTTTCCCATAACTTCATTAGAACCCTACTCTTTTATCATTAGGTGGACTCCTTTTGATCCGGCTCACCAAATGTTTATGAATATGTGTGCAGTTGTGTGTTTTCCTTTACAGATGCAAGAATGTTTGTCTTGTCCTCGAGCAGCCTTCTCCTCCTGGGGCCAACTACCCAGGTGTTGAAGTATTTTTCTGTTCTAATAAGAGTTAGTTCAATTTAGCTATTAAAAAAACAGCTGCTTTTAGGTCTGTGGTACATGGTCAGCAAAGTCTATTGAGTATGTGTGTGGGAAAGAGAGAGGAGATACATTAGTATTGACTTGTGGTCAGAACCACCAATTGACATGACTCTTTTGGCACCATACTGCTCTAGTTCACACACTGGAAGTCCCCCCTCTCCTTGTGCTCAGTGTTAATGGAGCAGGACCTGTCGATGCTTCGCAGCGGACACATCTACACGCTGGAATTTCCCATGGCTGATCATCATCTTTGGTCACGGGCGCCTTCCAACCCCGCCATCTCGCCCACTCTCCATCCCAACGCAACAAAACAAATCAAACAATTTACAGTTTCCCATTATTCTCTCCTCTCTGCCTGTCAGCATCTGGTTCCAATCAGCTGTGTGTGTGTGTGTGTGTGTGTGTGTGTGTGTGTGTGTGTGTGTGTGTGTGTGTGTGTGTGTGTGTGTGTGTGTGTGTGTGTGTGTGTGTGTGTGTGTGTGTGTGTGTGTGTGTGTGTGTGTGGGTGTGTGTGTGTGTGTGTGTGTGTGTGTGTGTGTGTGTGTGTGTGACACCATGTGAATGTTTTTATTTTCCATACATGTTCTCCTAAGATACAAAGCTCTTTGTCCAAACTCTTTCTCCATCTCTCTGGCTCCTCCTTCCTCTCACGCCCTCTCCATCTTCCATCTCTCCCTCTCTCTATTTTAGTCTTGCTTTTCTTGGCTGCAAGTCAGACCTCAGGCAGACCTAGAGGTCTTTTTCCCAAGCGATCTCCAGGGTGGACTCCAGGGAACAGTACACACACACACACACACACACACACATTCACATGCTCGGTCCATTTCCTCCTCCGTCTCTGCTCCTATCCCATATCTTTCTCTGTCTGCACCTCCTTGTTGACTCATACATTATTGTTGTATTACTGTTAAACTCTGTTGCGGTCATAGCTTATTGAAAAACAGAGAACACACTGTTCAAAATCAAGTGTCATGTTCTTGGCCCGGCTAAACTCTCTTCAGCACGTACACCCATTTGTACTTTACATGCTTTGTGTGTGTTTTAAAGCTTTATTTACCCAGGTTAGTCCCACTGGGATTAGGGATCTCGTTTACAAGGGAGATCTGGTCGAGAATTCAGCAGCACATTTAGTTAGACAGAAAAACTGCACATACAAATGCACAAGGTTAAACTAGTGCCATAGCTTCTGATTGAAATCAAGATTGGATAACACTGAAGGATTATTATCAATTAATAACAAGATTTGTGCTGTATCCTTTATTCAAACCTGCAAAAGAGGTATTTTAAAAGAAACAATATACTATGAGCTCAAAATGATTGAGCTCATTTTCATTTTAAGTGGCAATGAGTGGTAAAGAGGAAATATTGTTACCAGAAGAAGTCATGCATTTAAACTTCATACTTGTAAAAGCATCCAAATTGTAATAAGTGATTACCCATGATGCACAATGACCCATAATACCGGCAAATATATATATATTAGTAAAGTGCATAAAATAAATTCATAGTAAATTATTTGTAATATTATGTTTGTATTTATAGTTTGATTTACAAAGGAACTAAAGTAAAACAAATGTGTATTTTTGCTTCCACTTTAATTGTAACAGTACAAAGTAACACAACATTTAAATACTCAAGCAAAGTAAAACTACCTTAAAATGTTACTCAAATATAGTTTCCATTGCTTCCTGCAAGCAATATTGAGTCTGAAACGTCATAAAATGTTCAAGGTTTCAAAATGTAACTTTTAGTCCTTCTTTTTCTATTGTGACATAACTGATATCTATTATCTAAAGTTTACAACTAACAGAGGCAACAGCAGGATTACACTGCCCTCTAGTGGTGAGGCAGACTGAAGACCACATTTTGGGAGTGTGAGGAGTTTGTGAGGAGCAGGGAGTTGATGGTTTGGGGGAAATGTTTTCTTTTATTTAAAAAAAAAACTGTCACTTTTCTGCCATTAATACTTCTACTCGTGGTTCACTTGAGAGTTACTTTAGGGGTGACACTGTGGAGGAAGAAGTATTTAGATATCTCCTGTTGATCAGTGTAAAGGAGGGATTCCATTTTAAACAACAATGAATACAAGAGAATATCAAAGCAACTTTTTATAGGCACTGGTTAACAACATTTATGACATCTCTGTTAATGGTAAGCTTGCTGGCATGGGGGAAGGTCGGAGAAGAGGTGAAAGGGAAAGAGAGGTGAGAGGATTTGGGAAGTGATATCCTCTTTTCTTCCTTTCTGTCTTCTCTCTTTTCTTCCTTTCCTCATTTTCTTTCTCCTCTTTCTTCAATCTGTCCTTTCTCTCTTTCTCTTCTCGCTCTTCTCTCTCCTTCTTCATCCTCTTCTCTGCCTCCTTCTTTGCCTTTTCTTCCTCCTTCTTCATCCTAGCCTTCTCTTTGTCCGTTTTTGCAGCAAGCTCCTGAAAAGACAGAGACAACATGAAAGATGACATCTGAAACCAACTGTTTCAAATAAACATGTTATGATGTAAACCAGAATGATCAGCTGATGTGGCGTACCTGCAGTTGAGCATTTTTCTGGTTCAGGAGCTGCATCTCGTCCCTCATTTCCCTCTCCTTGTTAAGCCACTCCTCTTCCTTGTTGAGCCACTCCTCCTCCACCTCTCTGCTCTGTTCCTGCTCAGATTTCTTGAGGATCTCCTTTGATGCCAAATCATGCTCGATCTGACCCTCGAGGACTTTGTGTTGTGTCTGCCACTCTGTCTCTCTCTGGTGGGTCTCCTCCAGATGTTCTTCTTCCAGTGCCATCACTCCCTTTCTGTCACTGGTGATGGCCTCCTCCTTCTCCTGGATGATCCTGCTCCTCTTCCTCTCTGAGTCCTGCTGCAGATTCTCCAGATTGGCAGCTTCTTCCTTCTCTGTAACAAGCCCCCTGCTTTCTTTCTCTTTCTTTAACTCCATCACAGCTTTGTCAAAGGAGGGTTTCATCTCATTGAGCTGATGGTGCTGTTCCTTCCAGGCTTTTGTTGCCTTTTCAGTCGCCGTCTTATGGTATCGAAGACTTTCCTTCACTGAGTGGATGTACCTTCTGGCCATAAACAGAGTTGAAACTAAATGTTCCTTTTCATCCAGCAGCATATTTTTTTCTAGCTCCCAGCTGGCTCTCTGCTCCTTTAAAGCAGCATTTTCTGCTGCCAGCTCTGCTTTTGCTGCCTTGAATCCCAGAAGGACCTGTCTCAGAGCCTGCAGCGTTACGCTGAGAGCACATGATGCGGAGTACTGAAAGACACAAATATTCATGTGTCAGAAAAGTGAATGAAGTGTAGCCATTTGCATCTTCTGTAAAAGAGCCCTTTATTTCATCCAGCAAAATAACATTACCATTATTATTTGCTTTAGCCAAAACATTGACATTCTCAATGTAGCCTACTATAAAGTGAGAAAATTGGGTTTCTAAATTTTACCAAAATACAGTCATTTATTAGCAATGGGATCATTATCAACATTCAACTGAACAGTATTTACAAAAACAAACACAAAACTTTGTAATCTGTCAACTTAAAACATTAAAAGACTGTACAGATGGATGTATTAATATAACTTGTTCATGTAAACTACAAATCAAAGAACTTTAAAGCTTCAGAAAAGATTAGGAAATTAAAGAAAACTAGAAAATCTTACCTCATTTTCTGAGTTGTCGCTTCTCTCCATCTCTGCTGACCACAGAGAGTGCAGAGCTATTGGACTTGTAGTATTTTCTTGTAGTTCTGGGGTACTTTCCATGGATTCAGTCGTTTTTCTGAGAAAGTCAGTTTGTAACTCACTGGAGGTTTTAATTCAACACAACAACATGTTTGTCGTCATAACAACAAGCTGCATTTTGAGTAGGGTTTAGAATGTAATGATGTCATGAGGCCTCAAAATGTTGGAAATTCAAAACAAAACTTTATTTAGAACATTAATGGTCTTATTTACAAGAAGCATCTATAGGGATTATGTATTTGTATTCTGTTTTAGCTTATGACCCATGCTCTGCGACGATCTGTAACAAAGCAACATATTAATATATAAAAAGGTTTGTTTTATGATTGAAACTAGGAATATAAACGTTGGGAAATTATCTAATTGAGATTTATTTGACTAATTTGAGTTATTTGAATTCAATAATACATTCAAATGATCATGGTGAGCTTTTTTTTGTTGCAACAATCAGTACCAAACCAAAAGAATATTCTGAAGTCTGTAGAACACAATTTGTCTCTGCAGCATGTTTTATACATTACATATAATGCGTCATTATTGTGATTGTTTAGCCCTTATTTAAAAGCGGTTTGCTTATTTTTCTAACGCTAATATATTCCATTCAATAAATAACAAACCAGAGCAAACGTAGGCATTTTAAATGAAGTGTAATTACTGAAGCTGAACAATTTTCTACAACCCAAATCCAACATAACTTCAGTCATTGATATTTTAGGATTATCAGAAATACACTTAAACTGTAGACACACTGAAATACAGGGAAAGCTGTTCAGGTCTATTTACAATGTCAATCAAAATGAGGAAAATAGGGAGGACAGAATCATCATTTTATTTTTCAACATTACAAAACAGCTCCAGCTCGCCTGCTCACCACGGAGGTGTGCCACAGTTCTCATTCAATCAGGACTCTCCTAATTGGTTGCCATTGGGAACCAAAATGTGCACGTAGATATCTAGGCTTCCTCATCGTCACTTCCTGCCATGCTGCTGTCTGTAGATCCTGCTTCCTCTTCCTGTTTCGGTGGCTGTGGTTCTGTTTTTGGTTGCTGTTCAGGCTCTGTGGTGCTGGACGGTTCTGTGGGTTCTGTCGTGGTGGTGGTGGTGGTGGAGGTGTTGGGGGTGTTGGGGGTGTTGGAGGTGTTGGTGTCGGTGTTGGGGGTGGAGGTGTCGCCCTCTGCTGGCTTGGCCGTGTCGTTCTGCTGGCCCGGAGTGCCTCCCTCCAGGAAAGTAGACCAACCCTTTAGTCGCTCCTCTCGCTCACGGGTCGTCTCTTCCACCTGCACAATAAGAATTAGCATGAATGATGCAAATTCAATATCGCAAAAACTAAAATATCAAGTGACTGGTTCAAAAGAGAGATTACAGGCCAGTAGAAAGAACCTTAATACGGCTACTGATAGACATTAATCCTACACAACCAGTCAAAGTTGGGTCAACCATTGTTCCATTTTTATATTACTTGCTGAAAAATCACACAAAACACCAGTGGGATTTTTGTGTACAATTTATTTTTGAGATTGGCAAGTTTCTGAGAAATATGTATATATATATTTTCTAGAACTACTCCTTGTCATTCCAGAAGTCACTGAGAAAAATGGGAAAACTACAATCTTGTTGGTGTTTAAGTGTTTATTTGAGCATGTGAAACAAATGTACCTTTTGTTTTTGTGCGTTAACAATATTGCAATCAGTTTATACAACTTTTTCTTAAATATACAAACTCTATAGTCATAGAGTTACCCTATAGTTACCCTTAACTCTTTCATGACATAATTTTCCTTGTCGTTTTGGGCTAAATCTGAAGTATTCAACTGATTCAGTATTGCACTTCCATAAAATTAGAAGATTAATAAGAAAATAGACGCATAGTAAACAATATCCTACATTGTATTTACTAGTATGAGTGAATGAGCTTGCTCACTGTTTGTTTGTATATAACATTTGGTTTACCTGATAGTCTGTCGTTCCATCCCAAAGCAAAGCGACCAGCTGCCTCCCTCCGAACCAGCGCCCGTTGAACGACTCGATGCAGGCGTCGGCTTGTTCGGGCTCCTTATATGCGACGGATGCCACGCCGTCTGGGTGTCTCTGCATCACAAACACAACCATGCACCAGCTCCTTATGATGCCACTAACATCACATTCAAACCATCCTTTCTACCTTGACTACAAAACAGCACAAATGAATTAACTCACATCGAAGAGGATGACTTTCTTGACCTCCCCAAACTTCTCACACTCTGACCGCAGATCCTCACGATACTCATTCAACTCCAGCGGATCCTCCTACAAAGACCACAACAGAGACCAAAGAGATTAATACCCTGAATGGACAGAGTGTGTGTGTGTGTGTGTGTGTGTGTGTGTGTGTGTGTGTGTGTGTGTGTGTGTGTGTGTGTGTGTGTGTGTGTGTGTGTGTGTGTGTGTGTGTGTGTGTGTGTGTGTGTGTGTGTGTGTGTGTGTGTGTGTGTGTGTGTGTGTGTGTGTGTGTGTGTGTCTTACCTCAAAGTCACTGGGGTGGAACATGTTCCTAATTATGACCACTTTTTCATGCCTCTTCCTCACTTCTCCTTGCCTCTCTGGCCTCCAGTCCAGCTGTCTGCAAAGACAAAGACACAGACAGATTAACACTCTGTACCTTGTCTTCTCTAAATCCACTTCAGGAGGTTAAAATAAAATAAAGAATAAGGAAGAAGAGTTTACTTCTGTTGCGCCTGCATTTTCTTCCTATACTCTTTGTTTTTCTTCTTCTTCTTGCTGACGTCATATTGGCCCTTTAGCTCAAAGTGTGCTGCCTCCACATGCAGTCTGTAACCTCTGACCTCTGACTCGTCAATCAGACGCAATGCCAATGCCACCGACTCCTTCTGCAGAGAATCACAAAAACACACAGTCACGTCACTTAGTGTAATGCAATACTAACTAATAATTGAACTCACTGTGACATTCAAAGCTTAAATTAAGTAGTGTATCGACAGTGGTGTGTGGAACCTATACATTAAGCTTTAGGCAAGCAGAAGGACAGACAAACCTTGAGATAGCAGCAGAGGCCATCTCCCTTCAGATTTCCCTCTTTGTCCTTGTAGAGTTTCACCTTGTACTCTTCAGTGATGGGGTCCCTCATAACAATGCCGCACTTGGACATAATTTCAACAAACTCCTCATTGCTGACGTCAAGAGGCAGGCCTGAGGAGCAACGTATGAGGAGAAAAATCAGAGAGACAGTGAGATAGGATTAACAGTCAGGGACTCAGCTGTCTCATTGTTAAAGACACCAACCTGATACGTAGACATTAGTGTTTTTAGTGTCCTCGATATCGAACCATCCTACAAGCACAGAAAAGGGAAAAAACATTTATCATTATTTAGAATTGAAATACAACATACACCAATGACTTGAGCTCTCCCTGGCTATGTACAATTTGTTGATCCCCATTTGTGTGCTAGTTGCTGCCCTGGTTTTCTTTCTTCTTGTTGATGTCACTTTACCTTGTTCTGCTTTCCTTTTCTCCGCTTTCTGTTTGGCTTCTTTAGACTCCTCGTCTGGGTCCTGGTCCTCGGTAGCATCTGCTGGTTTCTTCTTTCCTGATGACTTGCTGTCTGTTTCTGGGGCTGCAGTGTTGGAGCTGCTCACTGCGATGTTGGCATCTGGAACTCCATCATCATTGAAGCCATAGTTTGCCTGGTAGGCTGCAATGAAGTCCTCTGTTATCTAGAGAAAAGAAGCAAACCTTGTCAACTTCAACATGGAAACTGTCCCAAGGTCATACATTAAAGGATCTGCAAAAAGAAGTGACATTTGCATGTAATGCTTCCTCTTGTGTGTTGGTTACCACAGATTAAGTGTATTGCCAACTGTGGACAGTGGCAAGTACAAGATGGTATAAAGGGAGCTTTGATATTTAGACTCAACATTTGTGTTGCTTTGACAAATCACCCCAGTCAGAGTATCACAGTATATTTGACATGTCAGCCAAACCTGCAAACAGCGGGTGTAACCCATAATCAATGTAGTCAAAATAATACATTTAAATTCAGCATCATATACGACACAAACTGCTGCAAATAAAAATAGTACAAATGAAAGATCTGAAGCTCAGGGACTGAGAACCTGCAAGGAACTAATATGATGTATGAAAACAAAAACTGGGAGATAAAGAAAAGCTCATACTTTAGGGAACCAAGCTTTCTTTGCTGGGTCCCAGTCATACACAGTCCCATCCTCTGGGTCAATGTAGGTGTTGGCGTCAGAGCCATCTGCATTTCTACGGTCATACATTTCCTGCATCCGCAGCTGCTCCGTAAAGTCTTTGTTGGCAGTTGATGGATCAGTCATCTGCAACAAAAATGTGAAATTATCCAGGTCAACAAGCCATTATATTTCAGCATTAATACCCATTATGCCCCCAATGTGGCAACAGTGAAGTATTGTTGATTTAAAAGAAAAACGAAATACTATGTATGGTTTAACATTAACATTAATATGCAAAAGGCCAAAGCAGCATAGTAAACGCATGTGTGCCACAGTCCTGGACCAGTGCTGTAAAATAATCAATAAATGACTGAACTTATTCGATGATATATTTCAACAGCCTGATTCCACAATGCCCACAACAACAAATATGTTGTACACAACAGATAATATGTTGCTACTTGCACTGTCACAGCCTGGTCAGTCATTCGCTTATATTCATTGCACTGATTATTGAGAACTGACAGCTTGAAACGGTGTCAGCAAGCTATTTAACACATGTTAGGAGATCTTGGCCTTGGCTGTTAAGATTCAATTCACATCTGGATAATCTATTTGTGCACATTTTTTAACATCTTTATTCAAGATTCAAAGGCTTTATCGTAATATGCACAATAGCAACAGTGTAGTTATGGCAATGAAATGTTTAAGTCCCAGGCTCCAACAATGCAACATAATATATGACATAAAACAAAACAAAATCAAATTACAACAATTAAATACTGTACAGTGGTAGTAATTCATGTGTGAGATGCAAACAGATCAATGCTTTGGAGTTATGAAGGCACTTAACAGACCCATGCTTATTATAATTACATAAAAAAATGAATACAATGTAAATGAAAAAAACGTGTTCTTCTGCTTCTGAAGTAACGTAGAATGTAGTTGATGTTAGCAAACATAGCTAGTTAGCTTTCGTTACCTTTTACAACAATAGTCCAGGCGATCTAAAAAGCTGGTAGCTGTGACGGTTAACAAAACAGACTCTCGCCGTGTATATACCCAAATATAAAACACACTTGGTCTGTGTGTTTGATTTTTAATTCAAGATTAACGTTAATCGCTCCGCGCTAACTAACGTTCACCCTGCACCACTCGGGATTCAATGAAGTACTTCCGATGTCAATGTTCCAATGCACATGCGTGACAATTGGGAAAGAAGCGCTCGATTTGTAAAACAGCATCTACCTTTTCACCGTAGCAACCGCCCCGCTCAATAGAAAGTGTACATGCAACGCGCGATCACTCCGCCTGCCGCACGTCTTGTAAGGAAAACAAGCGCCACTGGCACAACTGGCTAGATTTCAAGTTAGCAGGTAAGCTAAGTAAATTAGAAGTTATACGTCTTCTGTTTGTCATGGCAGAGGGAAGCTCTAACGCGGCCAACCTGCCTCCCGGAGACCCGCAGCTGATTAATATGATTGTGGAGCATCTGAAAAACCGGGGGCTTTTTGATGAGTTCCGTCGGGACTGTCTCGCCGACGTTGATACAAAGGTAACTCACCAGCTAACAGTGCTATGATGCCCAACATTACTTCACGTAAAGCTATTTGTAGCTTGTATTGCTCAATAGTGTTATTACATTGAATATGTATGAAGCTATATCTAGTATTTGATTGACTCGCTGCAAGAGTTCTTATGAAAGTGCATTGATGACTCTATTAAAATGATAATGTAGGAAGCAGGCAAACTCTTTGAAAAATGACATGTAAATGCTGTTCCCTTTTTGCTTTAAAGTGGTTTGCAATTTAGGTTTGACTTAAATAATGCCTGCAGAAATAGAAAAGTAGCTTACATTGTGTATATTGTATTTTATGTTTATGTCAAATTAAATGTTACATCTGAATATTGTCCACTGGACAGAACAGGTGTGTGTTTAATGGCCAAGTTTAAATCATTGCCTTTTTCTTCCAGCCTGCCTATCAGAACCTGCGGCAGAAAGTGGACAACTATGTCACTTCAAACCTGAGCACACAGGACTGGAACCCGTCCATCAACAAGAACCAGATGAGGAACGGACTGAGACAGAGTGTTGTTCAGTGAGTGTTACCGTCACCTACTACTTGCCCTCTGTGTACACTGTAAAGGAATAACAATGTGCATTGTACAGCTACAAATTTGAATGTTTGTGATTAACTGACGGTTAAAGAGTTCCTTGTGTAGGGATTAAAAAAACTCTGTGGATAAGCTGTAAAGAGATGATTTTATGAGGCATTGCTCTAGTAAACTACCCAGCAGTTTGTTAACCATAAACTTCTACAGCAGTAAAATACAAATAAATGCAGCAGTAATATTAATCAAAAACTAATGTATGGTTCTGAAGCAGCTTTCTGAAGTCCTTCATATAGATAGATAGATTAAACTTGTTATTAACTTTGTGACTATACCTAACCAACTTTTCATGAGCAGCTTCAAAATCAAATTGTTATGAAATTACTGTGTTTCTTTAACTACTATCTTGTGTTTCTTTTCTTCTAGATCTGGTATGCTGGAGTCTGGAGTGGACAGGATCATCACTCAGGTCGTGGACCCCAAGATGAACCACACTTTCCGGCCGCACATAGAAACTGCCATTCATGATTTCTTGTCAGGGGACAGGAGGGAGGAGAACGCTTTGAGTTGTAACTCTGCTCCGTCTGAACAGACAGAACTACAGGAGGCCCCGCCTGCCTCTGGCCCCAAAACCCCCTGAGGTCCATTTAACAAAAATTAAGTACTCTGTAAGGTCAAGAACAAGTTCAGTTAAGAAATCTATTTTTCATCTTTGCTTCAGGTGTGTGTTAGCTTTTTGAAAGGTGCAGCATCAGACATAAGGAGGATGAAGAAGACCAACAGGGGATAGTTTTTTTGCAATGGACTGGAGTCAGGAATGTTTCTGCATTCAACATTTTCAGCATGTGATGTTGTGACATGTCCTGTCAGTGCTGCACAAGGCTACTGCTGAAGGAGTCGGAAAAAACGCGATGCACTCTAACTGTACCGCGGGGCTTTGTGCATAAGAAGAAAAAAGGGACAAGTCTGGATAATAATTTCTTTATGTGCCAATCACGTTTTTACTTAAGTAGGTTGAATACAGATTTCTTACTCACCCAGTTTGTGTGTGTATAGACATGTTCCTTAGTTAACATGTTGACTTGTTTAACTGAAATGATTCAGATGACGAGTGAAGTTGATGGGCTGGTTTCAGTTAGGAGGAAGAAGATCCAGTAGTTTCATTCTAAGTCAAATTGAATTATTGAAAAACATTGAAGTAAATATTTTTTGATCAGTATCTAGAGTTGTTTCTTTTTAGTGCATGTATTTAGTATGTAGCAATGTTTGTGCATCCTATGTGATTTACTAAACACAGGTGAAATCATATTCCCCTATGTCTCACTGTTCTTATTGTTCCAGTTTGTAGTTCCTGTGCTTTTATTAGTAAAGATACCCTGATGTATTCAAAGCTGTTTGTTAAGCGGAGCAGTAGCAAGCCACAGCCATTTATGTCCTAAGCGTGAGACAAGAACCAGAGCAGATAATCATAAAATAGTACCACTAGGTGGGGTTGTTTTTCCCTTTAAAACACTGAATCTGCCAAAAAGTAATCCTAAGATTATATTTAGAGGCAAACCCCCTGATTCCGACCCCAGAAACATACAAATGTCCTATCCACATATTTGAGATCCTACAATAACTGTTTTATTATGAGAAGGTGTACACGTGGAAGTCATGACTTACGTTGAGTGATGAGTGACTCGGTACCTTTTGTATGAGCCACTGACAGACTGCCATGTCAGGACGGGAGACTTACACTCCAGCTATTTGTGTTTATTCTGGTTTGTAAAATCGACCCTGCAGAGGAATGCACAACGTTCTTTAAGCATGTATGTGTGTTTAAAGCTTGCGTAACTTTATTGATTCAACCACTTGTTTTTTGGCAGGAGACTGATCCACAATTTTCCAAAATATGTGTCAACGAGGGTGTTTGTAAATCTGCCCTATACGTCTTTTGTTTACTATGTGTTTGTGTAGAATATGCTTTAAGGATTATACTGAACAAATTGAAACATTGGATGAATATGTTATCAAAAAAGGTAACTAAATAAGCTGTTGCGATGAACTTTAAACCCAAGAAATTATGCATTAGAGATGTTCAAAAAATGTCACACAAATACATATACTTCCATTGAACTGAATATGTTAGAACATCAGCACAAAAGACTATCTGCATGTGTTCTTTGTGTGGGAACTTATAAGTAAACTCATAGAAAACCAGCAATATGGTCATTGAAGTCTAGTCTAGGTCCAGTGATCTGAAAACACAAGGGCAAAACAGTCAACAGATCAGAGTTCATAAACCCAAAGGTTATAGTAATGTTTCCTCCTTTAAAGCAGACACTGGATGAACATGATCTATATGCACACAGAAACATCCAGAGGCATGCATGATGTTTACGACATGATCAAGAGAGAGGGTCCTCCATGTGTACTGTTTGCACAGTGGTGTCTATGTGCATTTGTCTGTGATTTTGGACATGTGAGTGTGTTCATGTCGGGGTGAAGGGTCTTTGCGTGGGTGGTCAGCAGGGGTTGTGTGAGGGAAGCTGTGGGATGTTGTTTTGAGCATGATGAGACAAATCGAGCAGGAAAGGTCAGGGGAAAAAAGTCCAAAAGACGTCCAAACATCAGCCCCCCTATAAGAGAAGGTCTTCCCTCACTGGGCCCCTGCATGGACACACACACACACACACACACAAACCCACTCTGGCATCGCACCTTGACCTCTTGTTCTAAACCATGTAGCAAGGAATTGTGTATTTTTTTTACTTGCGGATTGACAGCCCACCGTTATGTGGTCATGATGCCACATGACTGGTCTGTCTCTTTGTAGTTGTCAGAGGTCATGGCTGTTATGAGTCAAAACACAACCACAACAACTAGGCTGCAAGATTGAATGCTTCACAAAGAAAAAAACAAAGCTTATCTCACCTTGGACTCACAACACAAACCTGTTTCTCTTTGATGTGACCCTTCTAGCTCACCAATTGTCTGAACAGTTATAATAATCTAAAAGTAAAATGTTGCAAGTTTTTTTTGTGTGTCATATCCCGTAGAGATTTGGCCACACAGTTATATTATTTGATCACAGACCTTTTCAACCAGACTTGCTTTTTTGCAAGGTGTGTTTAACTGAAGTATCAGACACGACTTTCCATAAGACCAGCTGGTGGAAATCACAACAAAAATTGTGAGCATCTATAATCTAGATAGCAGAAATATACATCAGTATTATAAACATTTTGACAGGAGACATATCTATATATATAAACTGTGTCCGTGTGTATAAGAATATTATAAGCTTATTTATATGAACATGTCAGAAAAATGTGATGTAAAATACATTCAGTGTATGGAATGTAGCATTATAACAATTTGTCAAACCTGACCCCCTTCACACACTCTTTCGGGCCGGGTGCTCCTGAGACGTTCCTCACTGCACGTTTCCCTGCCAGGAAAGCAGCTGCTAACCCTCAAAGAAACACACACACACACACACACACACTGGCTGTCGGGTTAATTGAGTGTGGATGTCTTGAGTGGTTGACCTTCACGTAACCCTGCATACTGCAGAGTAACAGGAAGACCTTATAAGAGCAATTTTGAATATTAAAGCAGCATATTGAATTATACGTTGTTAAACTAAACCAGACTATTTTTCAGAACAAAATATCTGTTTCTAATAATGTTTTTTTTCCTTCTACCAATAATACAGTTTTGGTTCCAGTTTGACGCTCGTTCACAGGGTTGCGCTATGATAGGTGGAGACAAACGTGAACGCGCCACGCTCGTGCTCGTGTTATATATTTCAGCCTTCATGCCCCGGTCGTACTTTATAGTGGAAACTCCTCTGCAAGACTATCGTGCTGTAACCTATAACGCAAAAAATTCCTTTCTAAAGCTGTGACTAGCTGAACTAAATATGGCGAACTTCCCCGCGGTGTTCCTCCTGCTGCTGGCCTGTCAACAGGTGCTGACCATGGAGCTGCATGATGTCCAGGAGAAACAACTGAGCCAGGCCAAGAGACGCCTCTCCCCGCAGAGCACAGGTGAGTTGTAATAGCAGGT